ATCATAAAGATACCATTTTAAAATGAAAACATATGTAAGAGTGTTAAGCAATGCATCTTGTTTTCAAAATATATCTCTTTTGAATTCTTTGTCTACAAACCTTGTGTGTCAAGTTAGAATTATCTGCAGAATTAAACACACGCAATTAATCTCTGAAATTAAACACACAATAACACATAACTGAGAAATAAATCGTTTATTAAATACATGTACATGTATGCAATTTTAAGATTAGGATTCATGAAATTGTGGACCTTTATTCACCCTTAATAAAATGTTTTGGATTTAAATTAAATCAAATTAAGATTAAATGATTTAATTGAATGATCCGATATGATTTAAAAAATAATTTTCCATAAATCATTGTGTTAGCAAAATGAATATAGAACGACAATGTTTTGTGTTTGAGCACTAATAGCTGCTTCCTCGGCCATATGCTATCAAGAGAAAGGTTACATACATGTAATTGTAAACAAACACAAAACCTGGGATGTATGTGAAATGCAGTTAAATGCAGTTAAAGACTGATTTATTTAATGCTAACTTTTTAAAAATTTAATTTAGTGTATGTTTCAACACGAAACGATGAAAAGATGTTTTGTTTACGAACGCAGGTCGCTGGTTCACACGCATTGGATCTCTTGTGATTTCCGCAACAATAATTTAATAAGTAAACCAACTTGACCAACATAGATAAGATGAGATAATTTGAAAGATCCGATATGATTAAAAAACACAATTATCTGTGCATCGTTGAGTTTGCAAAAAAGAGTTAGAACGGCAATGCCTGTTTAGTGTATGGCCACTGATCACTGGATCTAGGTCACGCGTGATCGGGGGATGGCTGGTTACGTAATTATAAATAAAAACAAACCCGAGACGTATTGAAAATGTGTGACTCAATAATTTAGAATGAATGCAACGGAACACGTAAAAACTTATTTCAAAGTAATATTAGTATTTATTTTGGATAGGTTTATCATTTATAGCAAGTTTATTTCAGTTATGCGCATAAATGCCCTGTTCACACGGAGAGTTTAATTCGAATTAAACAAAGTTACTGCGAATTAAATTTGAACCGCATTCACACGGAGAATTTAATGCAAATTAGTTTAATTTGAATTAATTTACTGCGCATTAAATTACTTCGCATTAGCTCCGTGTGAACGCTAAGCGAAGCTAATTGGAATTAAATTTTGACGCATGCGTAAGGGCAGAATTAAGTCACAGGTCACATGTCGGTGGTCAGATATAGGTACTTGTGCTATTTTAGAGTGTAAATCAAAGGAAAACTATGTTAATCACTAAAATGTGTACAGACACTATGACATTATGTCAAATCAGTGGTCAAATGTATCTGCTAGGCACAATGTGACGTGATTCAAAAATGACGTCATAATAGCCTTACTGAATAGCCTTATTATAGAAATAAAAATTTAATTCGCAATAGTTTAATTCGCATCAGCTGTCGTGTGAACGCAATTTAATTTGCATTAGTTTAATTTGCAATATTTTGCTTCGCATTAATTTACTGCAAATTAAACTCTCCGTGTGAACAGGGCAAAAGATTTCACCTTCACTTGTCTAATGAAACTAGTTACCTGTATATGGGTCAAGCTTCTAGCTCATCTGTTAAACAAGACTCGAACAAAATAAGTTCATGAGATCAATAATATGTTAAAGAACAACTTTTAAGTGACAGCTATATCAAAATATTCACCATTTTTGAGTTACAAAATGAAAACTTTCAAGGACCCTAGATCCCTTATTTAAGGGACCAGCCCCTTTTTGATGGTGCCCAATGAAAGACCTTAAAATTGTGCACAACTTTTATTCAACATATCTTAACAAAATATTTTTAGTTTAAAAGATACATAAGATACATAGGAAAATATGTGTAAATTTTCGCGCTTTTAGGCATTCTAATTTTTGACCCCTAACTAGCGCCATTTTGAATGCAGAAATCGAAAAACAAAAATAGATGTGCACAACTTCAATGCTTCTATTATTCAAATTTAGTAGTATTTCTGCTCTAGCTTTTTTAGTCTCCGAGCCTTTGTCTGGAAATGAAATCCCCTGAATTTTCATTCAAAGGGAAATAATTCCAAAGCTGAAGGGGACTTTTTAAATGTATGACAGCATTCTGATAGAGTTTTGTAACGTCTATAAGTTCTGAAAATTTGAGCAAAATCCGTTGAGAAATGAACGAGATATGAGGTCTAAAAGTTGGTGTCTAGAAAGGAGAAGAAAAAAAAAGAATAATAATCTTAACCATCAGAATCAGTAGAAGGTCTTCCGTTGGGACGGAAGACCTTAATAATCTTAATCATCAGAATCAGTAGAAGGTCTTCCGTTGGAAATGGAAGAGCTTAATGAAACATACTTTATTTTGGTTATAGATAACTCAATGAAAATTCATTTCATCTTTCAAAGTTACTGAGGTGATGGGCCTCTTGTAAATGAAATAATTACCACAATGTAAAAAAGACAAGATTACCACATGATCAATACAAAATATGGAAGTTGGATATATATATATATATATATATATATATATATATATATATATATATATATATATATATATATATATGTATGTATGTTATATCCATATAAATATCTTTCTATATATTTATTACTAATAGAAAGTCCAACAAATGAAATGTTAATTGCATTGGTCTAACAATTTTATTGTTGACCGGCCTGCCAGTCCAACATAAGAATTGTTAGATCGCAACGTCACAGCTACGTCACAAGTAAAATCATCGTTCAATATCGGCAACACGGAAATAGCCGAAGTTTAGAGCTGAAAGAGTTGTCGTTTTCTATACGAAAGAATATGTTTTGTGATAAACAATTTTTATGATATAATAATTTTATTCTTTATTTTTTCATTCTCTCCTATTGTTTTATTGATTAAGCCAAAATTTTTCAAAGAAAGTAATTGATTATATATTGATTAGATCTATTCAAATGTTTTAATTTATTTGTTCTATCTGAAGTGAAGGGTATAACAAAACAGTTATAGACTCATCGTCTGGGATTTGGCAACATATGATTTGTTGGAGCTGAAGGTGAAAATGTTGCCCTTGGCCTGCGGCCTCGGGCAACATTTTCACCTTCAGCTCCAACAAATCATATGTTGCCCTCATACCCAGTCAATAACTGTGTAAGATATATATATATATATATATATATATATATATATATATATATATATATATATATATATAAAAGCACTGAAAACCAACAACACTGTATATTCTAAGTGTCGGATCTACTAAGTAGATACAAGGTCACGGATGGAAATGTATATAAAGCACTAAAAATGACCAACGACACGAACAATAATAATTGTCAAATTTTCGGGACAACCTGTCCCTTCCTCAGGACAAAGAAAAAAGTTAAGAAGTCATAAAAACAAAGGAAATAGAGAAACAAAAACAACTAGCACTACTACTAAACTACCAAACACTAAATATTTACAGTGTAACATGTTTAATTTGAAGTTTATAAACAGTTGTGAACAAAGAAATCCGGAGCGCTATGAATTGCGTTCGGTCTCTCATGTGTACTCTGGTGAAGTGTGATTTACATAATTGAAGGAATTAATTATCGGTAATTAATTACGACCAAGCAGTAAATCATACATTGTCTTATTCTTTCAAAAATAGCGTAACTATACATGATAAAAAGAAATTAAAGAAATATAATATAGAAGGGCAATTTTAAAATATGAATTTGGATACATTATAAATTTGAAAATCGGATAAAAGAAATAAACAAAAATGTAAGCTGTAAATATTTGGGTAGGTTGTTCCAGAATTGCTAATGTGAATTAACGGTCAAGTTTACACTATATAGAGAGAATGAACTTGTTTGTTACAATCTGGGATTGGGTATAGTTTACGTTCATCCTGGTGAAGTCATTAAGTTTGTTAATACCATTAGGGTGGAATGACTTCAACCTGTGCATCCAGAACTTTTCCTTGCCTTTTCCCTGAGTGTCTGTCCATCTTGGATTATGGTCAATAACCACTACTGTCATGTCTTCCCATTTGTGACCATCAAGGTTGAAATGTTCCCCAACGGGTTCATTGAGTTTTTTGGTCCTAATGGTAGAACGGTGATTATTGACTCTCCTGTGGAGATCTCCTGTTTCACCAACATACTGTTTGGAGCAAACTTTGCAACTGATGAGATAAATGCAGTTGTTTGTTTGACAGCACAAATTCCCTAGTATTTTGTAGCTGAGGCCTGTAACGGGGCTGTTAAAGCTGTCTGTGTCAGAGCTGTGCTTACAGAGAAGACATCTTCTATCAGAGCAAGTTTTAAAGCCCCCTTTAGGTGATGGATTGTCCAATCTGGTTCTTACTACCATGTCCTTTAGGTTCCTCGGGCGTCTGTATGCAGCCAATGGGGGCTCCTTAAAGACCTCTGCCATTCGTTTATTTGAGTGGAGAAATGGCAGATTCTTTTGAAGGATACCGCTGAGGTTCTTAAGGACAGGATGGTATGTGGTTACCAGAGGGACAATTATTATTGTTCGTGTCGTTGGTCATTTTTAGTGCTTTATATAATAGTATATATATATATATATATATATATATATATATATATATATATATATATATATATATAATACTTTAAAGTGGAACTCTGCAATGGGTTTAACATGGGCATAATGGAGTGATAAATCTGCACAGACTGATGAGATCAACAGATTTTTTTTTAATTTACAATAAAAAAGATGTAAAAAATAAAATAAAAATCCACCTCCCAACAACAATTTTTATCGAAATTTGGATGAGAATCTAGCAAATTTTTTTTTATTTATGCCTTAAAAGGTGTAAAATCTTCATCAATATTTGTAATGACATTGATAGCTGTCCACATGTTTTATGTCTCATTGTAGCAACATACTTTTTCTAATGTGGAAGAGAAAATTGAAGAGGTAATTTGATCGAGTATTTAATAAGATTTTTTATTTAATTTCGTAGATAAAATATGTCCTTTAAGTTACCTGAGCCCATTGAGGCTGAGAGATCTGGGAAAAGAACAGCAAGCGATCTTGAAGAGGAAAATGGTTCAAGTTCGGTAAGAATAATACGTTTGTTGTAATTTCACCTTAAACAAAAGCTTAATACCTTAAGTGATTTTTTTTCTACACAAAGGTCTTAAATCTGTTATATTTAAGCATAGCAGCTAGGTTTTATTAGGTCACCTGAGTCACTCAGGTGACCTATTGCTATCCGTTTTCGTCCGTCGTCGTCCGTCGTCCGTCGTGCGTCGTGTGTTAACATTTGAACATTTTCAGCTTCTTCTCTGAAACCGCTGAACCAATTTCAGCCAATTTTTGCATATGGCATCTATGTGTGAAGGGGAACAAAATTTGTGAATTTCATGGTCCCTGCCCCCCTGGGGCCTGAGGGGTGGGGCTAAAACCATCAAAATTAATGCAATCTTTAAAAATCTTCTTCTTTACTCCTGGACATCAAGCAGTCAAACTGTTGACATGATTGTAATAAGCATTGAGCCCTCTGCCAAAGTTGTGAAATTCATGGCCCCAGGGTCAGGGGTTCTGGTGCTAGGGCGGGGCTATATAGATCATATAGTGAAAGTGCATTATTTCTTTGAAAATCTTCTTCTCTACTCCTTGGTATTATTGAAACAAATTGAATACATAGTTATGATAAGCAAGGGTGACTCTACCAAAATTGTGAAATTCATGGCCCCAGGGTCAGGGGTTCTGGTGCTAGGGTGGGGCTATATAGATCATATAGTGAATGTGCATTATTTCTTTGAAAATCTTCTTCTCTACTCCTGGGTATTATTTAAACAAATTAGATACAGAGTTATGATCAGCAAGGGTGACTCTACCAAAATTGTGAAATTCATGGCCCCAGGGTCAAGGGTTCTGGTGCTGGGGGCGGGGGGTATATAGATCATATAGTGAAAGTGCATTATTTCTTTAAAAATCTTCTTCTCTACTCCTTGGTATTATTGAAACAAATTAAATACAAAGTTATGATAAGCAAGAGTGACTCTACCAAAATTGTGAAATTCATAGCCCCAGGGTAAGGGGTTCTGGTGCTGGGGGGGGGGGGGGGCTATATAAATCATATAGTGAAAGTGCATTATTTCTTTGAAAATCTTCTTCTCTACTCCTGGGTATTATTTAAACAAATTAAATACATAGTTATGATAAGCAAGAGTAACTCTACCAAAATTGTGAATTTCATGGCCCCTGGGTCAGGGGTTCTGATGTAAGGGCGGGGCTCTATTTATTATATAGTGAAAATGCATTAATGCTTTAAAAATCTTCTTCTCTGCTTCTGGGTATTATTTAAACAAACTAAGTACATTATTATGATAAGCAAGGACACCTCTTCCAAAATTGTGAAATTCATGGCCCCAGGTACAGGGGTTCTTGTGCTAGGGTGGGGCTATATAGCTCCTACAGTGAAGGTGAATTATTTCTTTGAAAATCTTCTTCTCTGCCCCTGGGTACTATTTAAACAAACTAAGTACATTGTTATGATATGCAAGGATGCCTCTTCTAAAATTGTGAATCTCATGGCCCCAGGGTCAAGGATCCTTGTCAAAAGGGGGGGGGGGGGGCTCTATTGATTATATAGTGAAAAATCAAAATTTCTTTGAAAATATTCTTTTCTGCTTCTGGTTAAAAAACAAAGAAGCTAAGTATATAGTTATGATGAGCAAGAGTGCTTCTTCCAGAGTAGTGAATTGCATGACCCCTGGGTCAGATGTGCTGGTATAAGGGTGGGGCTGTTGATAATGTAGTGAAAATGCATTAATTCTATTAAATGATCCTGTCTGCTCCTTAATGTTAAGCAGTTAAACAAAGTGATTACTTATGATGAGCAAACTTGAAACTTCTGGTCCCAGGGTGAGAGGCTCTGGTGTTTCTCGGTGGTGAAGGGGGGGGGGGGGAGGGGCTCTATTGATAATATAGTGAATCTGTAGTGAAAATGCATTATTTCTTTAAAAATCTTCTCTGCACTTGGGCATATCAGACGCAAAAAGTGTAAAAGTTGTAATAAGGAAGGGTATTTTTACCAGATTTTTGAACATCTGGACCATTTGGTCAAGTGTTCTGGTCCTCGCCAGGGCTCAATTAATTTGCATTCTACTGAGAGGAGTTATTCACCTTTGCCGTTTACTTTTGATAATTAATCATTGTAAATAATGTACATGAAAAATTAATAGAATAAGAGAATTATGCAAGAATTTTTATTGTATAATACAAAAAGTATTTTCATAGTTTTAATGATCATGTGGACTTGTAAGTAATAGATAAATAAAAATGAGACAAAAATAACTTGTCTTATTAAATGTTCATCAAAGACCAAGAGAGGCCAATGTAAGAGATTACAACAAGGAATTAAAATAGTACAAAAGCACTGATAGTTTGGTAATATACTGTATGGTGATAGTGATAATTGGGGAACAGATTAGAACCTAATTTATGAACTGTTAATGAATAGTAGACTAATTATTTTGTTGATCCTGGTCACCCTATTTTTCTTGCTAATGGGCAACAAAGCTTCACCTTTCATTTCATTTTAATACTCTATGGATCCTCTAAATTGTTGTATTATACTCAGGTGACCGTTAAGGCCCTTGGGCCTCTTGTATTTAAAGAAGATGTGTTTGTGAAACACTGATGCCCCCGTATGGCAGCTTATGGCGAGGGGTGAATTTTCTCAAATGCATGTCAAACTTCAAAAGTTATGGCCCAAGGTTAAAGTTTTTAAAAAAGTGGGTCAAACTCTAAGGTCAAGGTCAAAAGGTCAAAAATATTTATACCCACTGAAAGGTCCTGTCACAAGGAATTCACATGTGAGGTATGAAAGTCCTAGCTTCAACTGTTTAAAAGTTATGGCCAAGGTTAAAGTGTGGTTTTTTTTTTGTAAAAGTAGGTCAAACTCCAAGGTCAAGAGGTCAAATTTGGAGGTACCCAAAGAAAGGTCTTGTCACAAGGAATACACCTGTGAAATATGAAAGCCATAGCCCCAACCACTCAAAAGTTATGGGCAAGGTTTTTGCGGACAGACAGACAGACGGACAAACAGGGCAAAAACTATATACCCCCAAAACTTTGTTTACGGGGGCATAAAAATACCTGTTTAAAAAAATTCCTTCTCTACTCAACATACTCAAGGATGTAATCAGGTTAAGCAGGTAAGCTTTTTCCAAGATTATAATATTACTTATCAGGTTTTTCACTGACTGTCTACAGAAATATATATTGGGTTGATCAATCTAATAGACGGCGAAAGCAGATAATTAGGTAATTAAAACCAAAAGTACTGCTTGCTAAAAAATCTTCTTCTCAAGAACCACTGGGCAGATTATCACCAAACTTACACCTTACTTGTAGATTAAAATTTGCACGGGGAATCACCCTGGGACAAAGGGTGTGGTCTCAAGGTCACTTCAAAGTTGACCAAAAATTACATTTTATTAAAATGTTGATATTTTGCCTACTATAAGGAGTAGGATCAGTTGATGCATCTAAGGACTTTGTATTTTGTTGACTCAAAAGTAAGTCCCGGTGACCTACTTTTTAGCTCACCTCAATGGAGTTAGGGGGAGCTTATGTGATACCGTCGGCATCAGCGTCCCAGGTTAAAGTTTTTGGTGCTGTTTTTAGCTCACCTGAGCTGAAAGCTCAAGTGAGCTTTTCTGATCACATTTTGTCCGTAGTCCGTCTGTCCGTCTGTCCGTCCGTCTGTCCGTCTGTAAACTTTTCACATTTTCGACTTCTTCTCCAGAACCACTGGGCCAATTTCAACCAAACTTGCCACAAAGCATCCTTGGGTGAAGGGGGTTCAAGTTTGTTCAAATGAAGGGCCATGCCCTCTTCCAAGGGGAGATAATTAAGAATAAGTGAAAATTTGGTGTCTTCTTTTAAAAATCTTCTTCTCAAGAACCACAGGGCCAGAAAAGTTGAAACTTATGGGAAACCTTCGTTACATAGTGTAGATTCAAATTTGTTCAAATCATGACCCCCGGGGGTAGGGTGGGGCCACAATGGGGGATCAAAGTTTTACATAGGAATACATAGGAAAATTCTTTAAAAATCTTCTTCTCAAGAACAACAAAGCCACAATTAGTCATATTGATACGAAATCATCCTCAGGTAGTGTAGATTCAAGTTTGTCCAAATCATGACCCCTGGGGGTAGGGTGGGGCCACAATGGGGGATCAAAGTTTTACATAGGAATATATAGGAAAATTCTTTAAAAATCTTCTTCTCAAGAACAACAAAGCCACAATTAGTCATATTGATATGAAATCATCCTCAGAGTAGTGTAGATTAAGTTTGTTCAAATCATGACCCCCGGGGGTAGGGTGGGTCCACAATAGGAGATCAAAGTTTTACATAGGAATACATAGGAAAATTCTTTAAAAATCTTCTTCTCAAGAACAACAAAGCCACAATTAGTCATATTGATATGAAATCATTCTCAGGTAGTGTAGATTCAAGTTTGTTCAAATCATGACCCCCGGGGGTAGGGTGGGGCCACAATGGGGGATCAAAGTTTTACATAGGAATATATAGGAAAATTCTTTAAAAATCTTCTTCTCAAGAACAACAAAGCCACAATTAGTCATATTGATATGGAATCATCCTTAGATAGTGTAGACTCAAATTTGTCGAAATCAAGACCCCCAGGGGTAGGGTGGGGCCACAATGGGGGATCAAAGTTTTACATAGGAATAAATAGGAAAAATCTTTTCAAGAACAGGAAAGCCGTGATTAGTCATTTTGATATTGAAGCATCCCCAAGTATTGTAGATTCAAGTTTGTTCAAGGCATCCTCCAGTAGTAGGGTGGGGCCATAATCGGGGATCAAAGTTTAACAAAAGAATATATTATAAGAAATATCTTAAAAAATCTTCTTCTCAAGAACAACAAAGCCATAATTAGTCATATTGATATGGAAGCATCCTTAGGTAGTGTAGATTCAAGTTTGTTCAAATCTTGAACCCCCCTCCCTTCCTCCCCCCCAGGGTAGGATGGCAGACATCTTTAAAATTCCGTTTCAAGAATAGCAAAACCATGATTAGTTATATGAATATAGAAGCATCCTCAGAAAGTTTAGATTCAATTTCATTCAAAACATGGCAACTGGGGATAGGTTATGCCTAGAACAGTTGATCAAAGCTTTACGTATGAATATATAGAAGAAGAAATCTGCTGACAAAGAACAGCAGGGCCATATTGACTCAGGTGAGCGTTGTGGCCCATGGGCCTCTTGTCTTTTTAAGTACTTCTATGCCCTACATTAATCTGAGAGGCTTGGAAGGTGCTTCTAACTGTGTTTCATTGTACCAGTCAAGGTGTCAGATGCTGCAATTTCAGCAAAGGAATGACCAGGATAAGGTTTTTGGAGCAGGTTAAAGTTTTGGGTGCAGCTTATCTTGGGTCCTCAATGTAGGTCGACTGAAAAGGTCACTGTGACCTACTTTTAAAAATATATAGCTTTAATTAAATATTTCGGGTACTAATTGGCTGAGAATCATCAAACTTTTTCAGTTGATGCATCTTGGGTCTTCAAAGTAAGTCGACTGAAAAGTAAGTCACTTTGACCTACTTTTAAAAATATATAGCTTTAATGTTTTATGGCCCAAGATGCCTCATCTTACAAGATTTCATGATTCTTAACCTCTCAATATTCGAATTAATGACCTTAAATGTTTTTAAAAAGATTAACCATAAAATTAAAAAAGTAGGTCAAGGTGACCTTCTTTTTAGTTGATGTACTCCAAAGATGCATCAACTGACAAAGTTTGATGATCATAGGCCTTAAATTGTTCAAAATAGGCCTCTAAATCATTTTGAAAAATGGGGCTTATAGTTACTTGGAAATGAGACCTGCTCCAAAAACTTTAACCTGTTCACTCATCCGGAAAATGTAGGTCAGATCCAGCAAGCCTGGTTATGTGTATCCTTAGATTCAGTAGATGTACTCCGAAGACCTAAGATACATCAACTGAAAAAAATTGATGATTCTAATCACTGTGACTTACTTTTTCAATTAATATGGCTGTAATTAAATATTTCGGGTACTAATTGGCTTAGAATCAAACTTTGATGCATCTTGGGTCTTCTGAGTACTGCAACTGAAAAGTAGGTCAAGGTGACCTTCTTTCAAAAATATATGACTATATTTAAATATTTCAGGTACTAATTGGCTTAGAATCGTCAAAATTTGTCAGTTGATGCATCTTGGGTCCTCAGAAAGTGTCAACTGGCATAATACCCAGGAGCAAAGGAGAAGACTTACAAAGAATTACTGCACTTTCTCTATATAATCAATAGAGCCCCATCCTAACACCACAACCCCTGACCCTGGGGCCATGGAATTCACAATTTTGGAAGAGGCACCCTTCTTTATCATAACTGTGAATTTCATGGCCCTTGGGTCAGTTGTACCATTGGGGGGTCTCCTATGATTATTTACTGAAATTGAATTGATGCTTTGAAATCTAATCTTTGGTATTAATCAAAGATTTTTGATGAGCAAGGGTGCCTTTTCCAAAATTGTTAAATGTATGTCCCCAGGGTCAGGTGTTCCTGTGGGGTGGGGCACTACTGTTTATACCCGCACTTTCTAAAGAAAGTTCGGGAATAATGTTGTTGCTCATGTCCGTCCGTCTGTCTGTCTGTCTGTCACACTCTTCTTTCTCAAACTCCTCTTACATTTTACACAGTAGCCTAATCATCTTTTGGGAGATGGTTGGTGGTGTCATGTAGATGTGCAGTAAGGTTTCAGAATTTTTTTTCTTCACCCTGGGGGTCAAATGGGGATTGAAAAATGATGTTTTTAATGGAAAAAGCTCCTGGTTCCCTGAACTCCTCTTACATTTTACACAGTAGCCTAATCATCTTTTGGGAGATGGTTGGTGGTGTCATGTAGATGTGCAGTAAGGTTTCGGAATTTTCTTTTTCGCCCAGGAAGTCAAATGGGGGTCGAAAAACGACATTTTTTATGCAAAAAGCCCCTGGTTCCCAGGAATCCTCTTACATTTTACACAGTAGCCTAGTCATCTTTTGGGAGATCGTTGGTATTAAATTTACATTAATCAAGAAAAATGTGTCTGTGAAATTTGTCATTATTAAATGTGTCAATGATTTGACAAAATAAACATTAAATTACAAAATTATTGTAAGGATTAGATTAAATGGCTACAAAAGTTATTGCTTTTAATCGTTTTTGATGTACTTTGACCATTTCCAGCTTTAGAGGGAAAGGATGATCTCCTTTAGTCAATCATGACCAATATACTGTTAAATGTGTCATGACACAGAAATGCAAACAAGACGGTACATGCATATATGGCTATATATATATTGTATTTCCAAATGGTTTCGGGTAAAGCTTTCAAATGATTTATATTTTACCATTTCCATTTTATTGGAAGGGGGTAGAGGAGGGTTTGACCTCCAGGGGCAATGACCTGTATTGTGTTTTATGTGTCAAGACCCAAATAACAAGATAATATATGGTTAAGAGTAAAGCCTACCGGTAAATGATTTGAGATATTGGACCAATTCCAGTTTTAGAAGTCCTGTAGAATGCAGGGACACCCCCCCCCCCACTTTTTTTTTCTGAGTATAGTATTTTGCTATAGTAAATATTTCTTCAGATGCTGCCCCCCCCCTTTTTAGCTCACCTGATCCAAAGGCTCAAGTGAGCTTTTTTGATCAAATTTTGTCTGTTGTCTGTCGTTGTTGTTGTAGTTGTAGTCGTCGTAAACTTTTTACAGTTTCATCTTCTTCTCCAGAACTACTGGGCCAATTTCAGCCAAACTTGGCACAGAGTATCCTTGGGTGAAGGGGATTCAAGTTTGTTCAAATGAAGGGCCACGCCTTCTTTCAAGGGGAGATAATTGTGAAATTCTGAAAAATTTATGGCATCTTTTAAAAATCTTCTTCTCAAGAACCACTGTGGTAGTAAGAAAATAGGAAACTTACGTGGAAGCATCTTCAGGTAGTGTAGATTCAAGATTGTTCAAGTCACAACCCCTGGGGGTAGGGTGGGGCCACAGTGGGCGATCAAAGTTTTTCATAGGAATACGTAGGGATAATCTTTAAAAATTTTCTTCTCAAGAACAACTAGTAAGAACAACAAAGCCATGATTGGTCATATTTATATGAAAACATCCTCAGGTAGTGTAGATTCAAGTTTGTTCAAATCATGACCCCCGGGGGTAGGGTGGGGCCACAGTGGGTGATCAAATTTTAACATAGGAATACATAGGGAGCATCTTTAAAAATCCTTTTCTCAAGAACAGCAAAGCCTTGATCAGTCATATTTATATGGAAGCATCTTCAGGTATTGTTGATTCAAGTTTGTTCAAATCATGACCCCAAGGGTAAGGCCACAATTGATGATCAAAGTTTTACATAGGAATATATAGGAAAAATCTCAAAAAATTTTCTTCTCAAGAACAACAAAGCTATGATTAGTCATATTTATATGGAAACATTCTCAGGTGTTGTATATTCAAGTTCTTCAAATCATGCCCCCTGGGGAGGGGGTGGGGGGGGGGGGGTAAGACATTTTGACTGACTTGAAATGACTGACCATTACATTTAGAACATGCTAATTAATTAAGTACTTAAATATCACCAAAGTATCATATATTATACATCAGTGTTTTTGGAATTGATTAAACTTTAGCATTGTCACATAATTTTGTAAAGAATTATAAATGTACAATTAACAGTATAGGTGAAACCAGGTAAAATGAATTTTTTGCAACTAATCTTGATATTGTCCTCACTTTGAAAGAAATTAACTTTTATGAAACGTTTCTCTTTAGAAATACCTGTATACTTAGCATATAATACCAAATCATTTAAAAGGTCCATTAGTTTTTTAGCTCACCTGAGCTGAAAGCTCAAGTGAGCTTTTCTGATCACATTTTATCTGGCGTCCGTCTGTCTGTCTGTAAACTTTTCACATTTTCGACTTCTTCTCAAGAACCACTGCACCAATTTCAACCAAACTTGCCACAAAGCATACTTGGGTAAAGGGGATGCAAGTTTATTCAAATGAAGGGCCACATCCTCTTTCAAGGGGAGATAATTAAGAATTTGTGAAAATTTGGTGTCATCTTTTAAAAATCTTTAAAGTCACTACCTGACTTGCTTTGAATGCTGGATCTGACCTACATTTTCCAGATGACTGACCAGGTTAAAGTTTTTGGAGTAGCTCTATAATTATATGGCCTGTTATGATTCAACTTGCATGGATGATGCATCTAAGGATGGACAATGCCAGACTTGCTTTGGATGTAGGAAACAAAAAACATTTTCTTGATTAGTGAACAGGTTAAGGTTTTTGGAACAGGTCAATTCCCAATGAACTTTATAACTACTTAAACAGAACTTACATGAATATTGTTGTCAGGATGCACACTAACTATAAAGAAAATTTGATGTGAGATTTGCATTACTTTTACTGACAACATTTGTTGAGGTGAGCTTCGTAATCTTTGATTACCAATGTTTTTTTTAAGGAAGATGAAACACTAAGCTCTAGTAAGGAATCCTTGCAGCCTAGGAAAAAACGTGCACCATCAAGTAGTACATGGAGTGAGCATGATGATGAAGCAGATTCAAGCTGTTTGAAGAGTCGACTCGCAAGTTCTATGAGAGGAAACTTTTCACCAAGTCAATGGACCTATAAAGATCTTATGTACATAAATATCTTTTATGAGGATTTCCCAGAACCCTTGGAAAAATTCATTAAAGATGTGAAGGATGATTTTAGGAAATGTTCAGGTTTTTCTCCTGATCCCAGCAAAATTACCATCTTTCTCAAGAAACAACTTGAAAAAAGTTTGACATTTTCATATGACATAAGAAAAAATGCAAGAATTTTTCATGTAAAAAGACAAATAACAGAGAAGGAAAATGTAAAAAAAGAGGTCAAGGAAAATATCAAAAGGGCATTGGAAAAGTGTGATGTACTACGAGATAACACGTAAGTTATTTCCTAGTCAGTTTTACTAATTACTAATCATTGATGATGCTGAGTTAAATTATCAAATATCAGAAATGGTTTTAAGCTGAAGGCTCAAGGGAGCTTTTTTGTTTAAAATTTGTCCATTGTTGTTGTTTTTAACTTTTCACATTTTCATTTTCTCAAGAACCTCTGGACCAATATTAACCAAACTTTGCACAGAGTTTCCTTGGATAAAGGGGATTCAAATCTGTTCAAATGAAGGGCTATACCCTCTTCAAAGGGGAGATGAATAAGAAATATTGAAAATTTGGTGGGGGTATTAAAAAATCTTCTCAAGAACCACTGGGCCAGAATAAATGAAACCTTGATTTAATGTAGATTCAAGTTTCATCATCATGATCAAGACCCCTGGGAGTAGGGTTGGCCACAATATGCGATCAAAGTTTTACATAAAAATTACACAAGTAGACTACATTAAAATACTTGATTCTGTTTATTGGTTTTTGACTTCAATAAACGGTGTTGCCATGGTTACTAAAAATAGAAATTTCTATAAAATACTTTCAAAACACTTTTTCTACAGTTTTGGTTTGATTTTAGTATAACTTGGCACACAAGTAAAGTAGACGAAGATACATAATTCTGTTTATTGGTTTTTGATTTCAATGAAAGGGTTGCCATGGTTACTAAAAATAGAGATTTTTTGGAAACACATTCAAAATGCTACTCCTCCTACAGTTTTGATCTGACTTCAATATAACTTGGCACACAAGTAGAATACACCAAGACACATATGACTGCCGTCATGAGAAAAGGGCCCTTATCTTTTGACGTCATAATGCTCAGAAAACGACGTCAAAGTCGCGGTGTTGTAAACACGGAAGTAATTTTTGTCGACTGCGTTTCGTGAACAAGAAATAAAATTGGATTTCCAGGTGAAATAAAAAAAATATTTGAAAATTGATGCTGAAATTTGTAATAAATAATATTATTACTATTTAGTACATGTATTTATTCATAATTCTGTTTATTAATAAGCATTTTTCTTGATATCGCATAATTAATCTAATCGCGACATTGAACACATTGTTGGGTACAGCGATTTATAGCGATGTCTATATACTATGCATGACTAAAAATACTGTGTATTTGTTTTCTGAGCAATTTGCAAATACTTAAATTTGACTCATTTGAATCAGACTTATTATTAAAAGGTATTCTACATGCACGTAAATATTTTTTTTTCAGAGAGAGAGAGAGAGATAGACAGAGATAAATGCACATATACGCGTACTTTATAAGTGCTTTATTTTAAAAATTCCTTCATTTTAAAATGGTTATTTAAATTTTAATCCATAGTTAATCATATTGATATGCACAATTAGACCAGAGAAGGGTGAAGCATTGATGTGTGTGTGTGGGGGGGGGGGGGGGGGGGGGGATCGGGAGATTATTGACAAACAAAAAAAAAATATAAATAAATAAATCGACGAATAAAAAAGACAACCGGTAAAAGTTCAAACAAAAAAAAGAGAACATCTTGTTTTTGATATAGATACTTGTAACATGGGAGATTCGAACCTACATGTACTACAACAAATGAAAAGGGGGGATTGTATAAATGTTATGTAAGTAATTCCTCTACAAAATTAACAGCAAAAGAATATGCTTAGGGGAAAAAAATGGAGAAAAGGGTGCCACGAAAATTTTGCTACAAAATATAATTTTGAAAAAAAAAATAATGAAATGATCAAATAATGCATAAAAAATAGTACTCTCTGATACACAATTACTTTTGTATCAATTTTCTTAAATTGTTCCTATGAAAGCTGGCTTGAAATTAAATTGCGCTTGGTTTAGGAATTTTATTAAAATACATCTAATGTGGGCTTTTCCATGAGCATTATACTCAACGTTGAAGAAAATAACATTTATATCGAACGTGTCATTATGCGTGAAAATATGCGTATGAAACAGAAGAAAAAAGCAGATTAAACGATAGATTAGGCTGTATATAAAGAAATTACGAACTTCTGGTAAATGTTGATATAGCGACATCTTTTGAGAATAAATGACTGATAGAGGAAAAAAGTACTAGTAACAAGTGGTTAAATTATGAATGTCATATTATATTGTTATAAAAATGTTCTGATCATCAACGACATTAACACCAACTGTAAGACAACAATAAAAAAATCTACATTTTGAGAAAGATGGAAAATAAAAGCAATGGTGATGTTTCGAGCGACAAAAAACAAAACGAAAACAAAACAAAAACGGAGGCTCATGCAAAGTTTTGATGACCGTGAAATATGAAGGGAAGCATTTTTTTTACTGACTATTGAAATCATGTATGTAGTAAATTAGTCACGTTTCGCGTTTAAATCTTGGACGTTGAGTCTCATCTCGATAACCCGGATATCTCAACATTTTCTAAAAGTTCCGTTGATGCCGGGATACTATTAGTTATCCAGGTCCAATCAAGGGTGTACGGGGATTTACCCCGGGTTTTATTCCATAGATCATGAGGCCGAAGTTTATAACTGTACCTGACTTTAAGGGAAGGATTAAACAAACACACATACCTTTCTGCTTTTAATAAAAGATATATATTTCTCTTCCAGTCAAGTGGTGACAGGCAAAAAATACGAGTCATGTTCTTTAATCTCACCATTCCAAGAAAGTGGTATTCTTTGAAAAATGGATTGCCTATTTTACTTTTAGCTTCCACGTCACAAGCAGATACTAAGTCTCCTATGAAGAGATTCAACTTAGAGCGGCAGAGTTTCAAACATTCAAGGGAATATTGCTTAAACACATAATACAAAAATTATAACGTGTATTGGACGTAATATTTAATTATTGCTTAAGACTTCTGAAAACCTTTGATGTCAAGTTAGCTGATGTCACGGATTAAGATGAATAGATGACCTTAATTGCGTAAAAATATATTTAAGTCTTGAAAGATATTCAGTTTCAATTTCAAATAGATTTCGTCAAAATTGTAACGCAACTATATTTTATTTTGCTTAGAAAAATCCAGCTCCATTAAGTGTACATATATTAAAAAGAGTCAAGAGCAGTACAACTTTGCTTTGCACCTGTGGTTTCGACTCTACTACTGTATCACTTGGACACAACAATCGTTCAATATTTCTTATAAGGGTCACTAATGTAATCTCAAAAAGAAAACTTTATAAAAATTGGTTTCTGTAAAAATGATTCAATGTCGAAACGATTTGGCAATTCGCTATCATATTGCCAGATACTAATTACTCAGTATCACCTGCTGGACATGCAAAGATAGCCGGCAGACACATGTCATATTTTAAGCTTATCAATGCTCAACATTTCAATTCTAGAAAAATTTAATTCCTTGTAACATTGCGCTCGATCTGAAATAATAACCTCCCTGGATTTTTGGAATTGATAAAATCTCATCAGATATTAATCGGACCCTGGAGAAGAAATTGAATTGTATGATGAACAATGAAAATTTATTAAACATTTGTTTTATCAAAGTATTTTTAAAAAGTTTAATTAAAAAAAATCGCTCGGATGTACAGAACATATTTATTATTTATGATTTTTTATGAACAGAAGATGCTTTAAAAAAAAATAAACATTATGGCGTCCATTAGAATTCTTTGGTGATACAGAAAATACATAAAGTGTTACATGTATTATTCCCCTCCTATAACAACGTGTGTGTGTCTGTGTGTCAAGAGGGGGGGGGGGACTGAGTGAATGCCTGCTTATATTAAACCAAAAATATTTCTTTTTATATATATATATCGGGATCGATGTGCTGATGTCCCGCGTTACGCGCGTTGCCCTTCCTTGGGTTGGATCTATCCTTTCTCTATTGGACACCTGTGAAGTTTTTTTTTTATGTTTTTAATTTACAAGTGTTTTATATATTGTATAAATTTGGCTAGAGTATTAAATATAAAAAGAATATCTTGTGCTGAAATAGTGGAATTGTACAAATATTATTTTTTCAAATGAATATAAACCGTTCCTAGATCCTGTCATGGCCACCCCACCCCCCTCCTTTACGATATCACTGAATCTGTCTCTAAAATAGTATGAACTATAAAGGCAACTTTCCTTAAGAATAATTACATACTAGAAGCTTGGAAGAAGAAATCAATTTTTTTTCAAGTTTATTTGTGTCAAAACGATTAAAGTTATTTAAATAATTTTAAGAATGTTTGGAAACTGAATTTGACGCACGCGACGTCATTACATTTTCAGTGAGTAACGTCAACGTTATTTTGAGGCGATTTACTAAAATGCTCATAAAATATTGAAAAAGTGAGATATTTTTGAAAGTTATGTATTTTTGCATTCAGAAAGAGTCAGGCTATCAAAATATACCAAAAAGTCAATTTGTGAAATTTTGACCTTAAGGGCCCTTTTCTCATGACGGCAGTCATATTCTTTTTATCGGTTTTTGATTTCGATGAACGGTGTTGCCATGGTCACTAAAAATAGAAATTTCCTTGAAATATGTTTAAAACACTACTCTTCCTATAGTTTGGGTCTGATTTCAGTATAACTTGACACACAAGTATATTACATTAAGATACATAATTCTCTTTACCGGATTTGGATTTTGATGAATGGTGTTGCCATGGTTACTAAAAATAGAAATTTCTGTGAAATACTTTCAAAATGCTACACTTCCTCCATTTCTTGTCTATTTCTGAATCAGTATAACTTGGTATACAAGTAGACTACACTGAGATACATAATTGTCTTCATTGTTTTTTGATTTTGTTGAATGATGTTGCCGTGGTTACTTAAATCAAAATTTCTGTAAAATTTTTTAAAAGGCTACTCCTACTACATTTTTAATCTGATTGCAATAAATCCAATGTCACAAAAAGAGACTAAACCAAGGATCATTATTCTATATATATTGATGTTGCAAAGTTTCAAGTCCATGTGCTACTTTTATCTTCCTTTATAAGTACAACCAGTAGAGCTACAGTCTTGTCAGAGACTTCTGGTTA